TAATCTACTTTAGAAAAACAGTGTCATAAACCTGAAGACTTCAGCGCTGGTATCAGTGCTATCTTTTTTTTTTTTCCTTTTAACCAAAAGGTAAACCTCATTAAATCCAGATTCAGACCAGACCATTATTCATTGAGAAACAGAAGACATCTGACCGAGCACACAGGGAAGAAATCACTATGTCGGTGGAAAGATTCAGTGATGGAAGATTTCAGTCAATACCCAAGCAGCATGAAGGAGTTGAAAGCTGTGGTTTCATGAGACATGTTTGAGAGGTTTGCTAAAGTCACCCAGTAGTTCTTTCTTGGGTCTAAAGATGGAAAGTACCGAACCTGGAGAGAACATAGCTCAGGCTCTTTCATGTTTAGCTGACTCATCCCGTTGGCGCGGCTTGGCTTTATTATATGCTAGTGTTACCCAATTCATCACTAACTGCTCCTCAGAGGACACCACTCATTGAGCTGGGCAGCAAAGCTGGCGGGGGAGAAATAAAGGGCTTTCCAATCATTCTTCCTGAAACATTGTCCGGCCAATGTCAAGACATTTCCTCAGGCCCTGTTAAATCACCGAGATGGGTCAGAACGGCTAACTCCACTCTCAGGGCTAGGAGCTGAATGCCTCCTGGAACAGAGTCATCATCATCAAACACATTGTACCAAGGACCATTGTGCCAGCCAGAGTGAGCATGGTTGATGGCGTCGCACCAGGCACCATGTCGCAAAAGGCCCCCACAGAGTGAGGGCCCCCAACCCCTGCCAGAGATACACCTTCAAAATAGCAGTTGAGGTCTGACCTTCGGACAGTTCAACCCTGTGCACCTCTGCTTTGAAGAGCCAAAGCTGAGCCCTAAATGGTCACACCAAAGTCTTGGATCAGGGATTTCCAAGCAAATCATTCTTGCATTTCCTGCTGCTATGGGGATTACCGCTGGGCAAGAGGATATGGTCAATGTCAGTGCTGATCGCAGGCCGCTGATTTGCTGTAAGTTACTTTCAGATATGTAACAGGAAACGACAGTTCTCTCTGCAATTGTTCAGGTTCAGTAAATTATGACCCTCTTGAAGATTACTGTGATGAATATAGAAAGCAGTCGTTTATCATGTGGAAAGGACTATCCTTTCCTTTTCTGTTTTGTCGAGTGGCGCTCCCCCCCCCCCATCTCTCAATTTATCACAACAGAGTTAAAAGAAAGTTTTGCACGTGCAGCCACAGGGCCCTCGATCGCTCAGGAAGACACAGTGGCGGTTTAAGAGGAATCAGAGGGCTACTTGTTAGAGAATGGCCATGGGAAGTTGGAGACCCAGGCTGAGACGTGGAGACCCAGCTTTGCCACTCACTTTGGGCATCTCACTTGACCTCTCTCTGCCTCAGTTGCCTAATCTATACCCCAGATATACCCCTTCTTTGCAAAGTGCGGGGAGATCCTGGGGTGAAAGGTTCCATGTAAATACAAAGTACTACTGTACTACATCGTAAAATGAGCGTCACCACTGTTTTACATGTCGACTTTCGGTGGGATTTTGTGCAAAGCTTAGTTGCAAAATATGCCACAGACGCCTTTATATGGTGTGTTTGGGCAGAGCTGGCCCTAAAACTCAGCCTTAAACCCAGCAGGGCCCCCAGTTTGAACCCTTCTTGGCACACTCTCTTCCAGTTTGCAGTGGGGGTCAGGCAAAAGTTGCACTAGGCCTTGTGTTCCAAAACCACGCCTGCTGGTTTGCTGGGCTCAGAGAGAGACACCCACAAGGCTTAGGTGCAATTACGATGTCTCTTAGGAGGTGGCCACCAAGGAACTCTTGAATGCTAGCTTCTGGGATGCAGATAATGGGTGAGGAAACATACAATAGAAAACATGAATGAAACGGAGCCATACAGAAGCATAGGGGAGCGAATAGCTTCTCTTGCTTAGTGAGTTATAATTGGGTCTGGAGTCTCTCTCTACCGCCCTGACACGTCCTCAAAAGTCTCATCCACTCAACACTTGGTCAGTTCATTCTCAGGAGCTCCTGATAACAAGCTGGATCCAGGAGCGTCCAAGGGTGAGCTGAAATGTTGGGGGCCACATAGCCATATGGGCCCAGCTCCTCAGAAGTATTTAAGTGCCTAACTCCCACTGATTTTGGAGTTAGGTGCCCAAATACACTTTTGAAGAGCTGGGCCATGGAACCTGAGTTGCTCGATCACCAAACCCCACTGAGTAATTGTGCGCCCATAGCACCACATCCCCCCCAAATCCAGATCCATTCTAAAAGACTTCTTCCAACAAGTGAATCCTTTGGGAGCATGCTCTGCAGCTGGGTAACGCCGATGGCTGTCACAGGATCCAGAAAATCTCTGGAAAACAATAGGATTCAGCATCAAAATGCCCCAGAACCTTGAGTAACTATGAGAAGGGGTTACTAGCTCAGAGATCAGAGGGGTAGCCGTGTTAGTCTGAATCTGTAAAAAGCAACAGAGGGTCCTGTGGCACCTTTGAGACTAACAGAAGTACTGGGAGCATAAGCTTTCGTGGGTAAGAACCTCACTTCTTCAGATGCAAGACTCTTGCATCTGAAGAA